TCGTTCCTTCACTAGCTGGAATACATCCTTTGGTAACATATGGGTCTTTGTTCCGAAGTTCAATCTTGATGGAACTGTTAATCGATTGAAAGCCCGATTGGTTGCTAAAGGTTACATACATACCTATGGCGTTGATTATGATGAAACATTCTCTCCAGTTGCTAAGATCTCTCGATTCGTGTTTTGATCTCTATCGTTGCTAACCTCGGTTGGCCTTTGTTTCAATTGAATATTAAAAATGCATTCCTTCATGGTGACTTTTACGAAAACATTTATATGGAGCAACCAACTGGGTTTGTTGATTAAGGGGAGTATTAGAATTATGTTTATATGCTGAAAAAGGCTTTATATGGGTTAAAGCAATCACCGAGGGTATGGTTTGGGAAGTTTTCTGAGGTTGTTTTGAGATTTGGTCTTCAGAGGTGTCAGACAGATCATTCAGTATTTCATCTACGAATTGGTGCAGATTATGTTACCTTTGTAGTTTAGGTAGATGATATTATAATCACTGGTGATGATGCAGATGGGATTGCTCGGTTGAAATAGTTTCTACAAAAACATTTTCATGCCAAAGATCTAGGCAAGCTCTGATATTTCTTGGTTATTGAAGTCGCTAGATCACAAGCAGGTATCAATTTATATAAAAAAATATGTACTTGAACGGTTAGATGAGACTGGTTTCCTTGGAACTTGTCCAGTTGATACTCTCATGGATCCTAATGTGAAGCTTTTGAAAGATACAGGGGAATTGTTTGGAGAATCAGGAAAATATCGTCGTTTGGTTGGAAAATTGAATTATCGTCGTTTGGTTGGAAAATTGAATTATCTTACCATCACACGATCAGATATTTTCTATGCAGTTAGTGCCATTAGTCAGTTTTTGGATGCTCCTCGGGGTTCTCATTGGGAAGCTGTGATATGTATTATTTACTACTTGAAAAAGACTCTAGGAGGGTGTTTAGGAGCCATTTTTAAGTAAAAATGCATTTTGGAATAGTAAATTGATGGGAAATGTGTAGTTGAAAAATAAGGAAAAGTTTTTTATTTACGTATAATATTATTTTAATAAAGAATGTGTGGTTGAAAAGAAGAGAGAAAAATGTGTGTTAAAAGGGTACCAAACGGGGCCTAGGTCTTGGATTATTGTATAAACCAAATGGACATTCATAATAGAAGGATTTACATATGCAAATTGGGCGGGGTCCCCGTCAGATAAATGATCCACTATTAGTTTCTGTACTTTTCTTGGTGGTAATCTTGTTTCTTGGAAAAGTAAGAAATAAACCGTAGTAGCAAGTCTAGAAGCTAAATATAGCGCGATGGCTCATACTGCTAGTAAGTTGACATGGTTGCAGCACTTTCTTCAAGAAATCAATCTCTCACCTTTCATTCCTATTCCAATATTCTGTGATAACCAAGCTACTCTACATATTGCGTCCAATCTAGTCTTTCATGAAAGGACCAAACATATTGAAGTTGACTGTCACTTTGTTTGAGACAACATAATGAGTGGTAATATATGTACACCATTTGTGAAAATAGAAGACCACCTTGTTGATATGTCACGAAGCCATTGAGCAGTAATCGATTGAGATTTCTTTGTTTCAAGCTGCGCCTATATGATAAATAGGAGAGTGTTAAGAAAATAAATATGTTATAATAATCTAGTTTGGACAAGAATGCAATTAGGTTTATTTTGTTTCCATATTTGTACTCTTTCTGTGTGTATACTCTTTGTATCCCTATATAATGAAAGAAAACGAGAGGAAGGAAAAATTAACTTCTCTATAGAAGTTTTCACCAAACCTGTTTATCAACAAAAATGAAGTTGGTTGCTAGTTAATAATAAATTTATTGATCTGTTAAAGAGTTTGGTCATTCTTTTGGTGGAATTTGAGTTCAACTTTGTTCACCGTGTAAAATAAATTGCTAGTCTATTTTACATATGTAAGCTTCTTTTGGCCAACATTGCATTGTTGTTCCTAAATTACTAGTATGAAGGGGCACCATGAGAATACCCATTCTTCTCATCTGAGCATGAATGTGCTTTTGGCAAGCTGACTTTAGGCCTTGTTTGATTCTCATTTTTTCCAAAAT